TACATGATACAAGGGGCCATATAAATAGGCTCCAAATGAAAGCAAATGCAAAAGTCTAAAATGCCCCTCGGGCTACAAGATAAAACTAATACCCACAAGGGTAAAATGAGAAAAACTGAAAAGCAACAAGTAATGCAAGAACTGCAGATACAACAAATCATCAGTAGTAAAGGCTATCCATCATAGCCGTCGATCTCCGGTGTCGTCTCTGTTAGACGCGCCGGAATCTCCTGCCGATGCCCCCATCAATAATAGGTTTAAGCATCTTGGATCTCTTATATAGAAATGAAAATATAGATTGGGATATAGCTTCTATTATCATGATTGAAAGATTATGAATAAGTGCCTTGGTAGTTTTGTTTGATTAGAGGCTATCATGGAGGCTTAAAGGTAAATTTAACAAAAGTACCATTTGGTTGATAATGTTGTATGGTTTTGAATGTTGTTTGAAAACTCATTGATATCTAAGTTACGTATGGTAGGAATGAAAATGTTTAGTTTGATTTATTCGAGGTTTAAAAAACTTTTTGAAATCAATGCCTTATAGCCCTTTTCATTTTGAGTTGTTAAAAAAAAAAGATTCAAAATCTATATTTTTCTTTGATTTTTCAAAATCCAAGTCTTAATTGATTAAGGGGTGGGTTTTAAATCTTAATGTTTTGAAACCTATTAACATGTGGATTTTGAATTGCATCTTTTTACGGAGCCTATTTAATTATGTTTTGGATTTTTAAAAATATTTTAGTTGGGCCTTTAATAGAAATTTTTAGGTGATAGCATTTGTGCTCTAAAACAATTAAATTTTAGCCCTAAAAATCATTAAAATTCAATATAAAACCTAAAAATTCTTTGTTCTTCTCCTTCATGAGTGCTTTGGCTTCTATTCACACCCAATATTTCAAGCGTCTACTGCCAGCCACAAGTTCAAACTTCATTGGAATAGATGTTAGTCGATGTTCACAAGCATCCACGAATCAAATAACTTGAGAGGTTGGTAAAGTATATTCATTATGAAACATATAATAAATTGTTATTTAGTATTTCCTTATTATGGTGTATTTATTATAATAATCTTGATGCATGAAAGAAGAAAGTAACAATATTGGATGAGGAAGAGGATCAATGGGATGACTTATATGTAAGTGATGGGGAGGGTGATAGAATCATTAGATTTCACAAAAATTCTTTAGATGATTATACTACTGATGATGATAATGATGATGTTAATTTTTATAGCATAAAAGATTTGACTTAGGTCTTTAAAATACTTAATTTAAAATCTCGTTCTATCATAAGTTACTATTTTTTATGTTTTATAAACCTACAACTCCTATTTGTTTTTTAGAACATTGTGTGCTTCTTATTATATCTTTTATAAAGTAAGATCATTTTTTTACTGAACTTCGTGTGTTTACTATATTTTTAAATAATTTTGTGACTTTTTGTGTTTTTAATTTGAAACTACATATTGATTCCATTCAAAATCTGCGTTTAGATTCATTGAGGAAATTAACTCGATTCACGATATAGTTTTTTTTAACCTCGAATTTGTGGCAAAACTGGGAAGGATAAACTAAGGTGTGATGATTATATTAAAGGAAAGAGGGAGCGGCACTTGTTGAAGATAAGGTGACTAAAGATGGTCTGATGTGGTTTAGATATGTAGAACAATGGGTGAAAAAATGCGCTTGTTAGACAATTTGATGAATTATTGTCAAACAATTAGGAAGAAAAATAGGTAGCACTAAGTTACTTGCCTAGTGGCGGTTTAAAATGAGTTGCGAAAAAATAGATTTAACACCTCAAATAATATTTAATATGATAAATGAATGAAAGTGAGCCACCACCAAGTAGTTGGGAGTTAATTCATCTGATTATCTATACTGTGCTATAGAATACGGTAAGTAGTTTGTATCTAGCTTATAAATTATTGCATTGGAAGAGATTCTGGGTGCACTATTATATGCTTGTTGTCGTCATAGGATTGCTCATCTATTTTGGGGCTTCTAGCTAATTTAATTTCCTATGCATTTTATTGCCTTATATTCTTACAATTAAGATTTTTTGAAATGCTTTCTGCTTTTAGGAAAGCCAACCCTGCCTGCAAACTTTGAGGAAAATACATGGGCAACTTTAAAGTCTGCTATTACAGCTATATTTCTGAAGCAGCCAGATCCCTGTGATTCTGAGAAGCTTTATCAGGTAATTTTATGGTCCGTGTTTGTAATATGGCCATGAAAATTGTAGATGTAGTTTCTGTTATGACTGTTGGCCTTTGTACCATAGGCAGTTAGTGATCTTTGTTTGCACAAGATGGGAGGAAATCTTTATCAACGTATTCAGCAGGAATGTGAAGGGCACATTTCTGCCAAACTGCTGTCATTAGTTGGCCAAAGCCTTGATCTGGTGGTGTTTTTATCGTTGGTAGAGAAATGCTGGCAGGATTTCTGTGACCAGATGTTGATGATTCGTGGTATAGCTCTATATCTTGATAGAACTCATGTTAAGCAAACTCCAAATGTTCGCTCTTTGTGGGACATGGGGCTGCAGTTGTTTCGCAGACATCTATCATTGTCTCCAGAAGTTGAGCGTAAAATTGTTGCTGGCCTTCTAGAGCTGATTGAGAGAGAACGGTATGCTAAACTGTTTTGAATTGTTGAGATTGCAGCGGGTTAACGCTTTTTATCTTTTTATTTTGGTATATGTTGAATATATTCTCTTTGCTTTATCTTTTTCTTAATGTATTTCATTGAGCTGAATAAATATTTTGCTTTGCTTAATCATATGCGGCCTTGCCATTTTAAATGCTTACATACACACTTCTCGAAAATATTATATGCAAAACCGGTGATCTGTGAAAAATTAAGGTACTTGGCTGTTACTGATGCATGGAATGTTGGAACTACAACGACGACAACAACAACAACATCAAGCCTTTATCCCACTATGTTGGGTCGGCTACATGAATTCTTTTTCTTCATCGTGTTTTGTTAAAAGTCAAATTCTCATTTAAATCTTATAAAGAAATATCATTTCTAATATTTTCTAACAATTTTTAGGTCTACCTCAACCTTTCTTAACATAAGTCAAATCTAATACCTCTACTTTCCTAACTGGGTCATTGAAAAGCTGCCGTTTTATGTGACTAAACCATCTATGAAGACTCTCTCTAATCTTATCTTCCACTGGGGCTACTCCAGCCTTTTCACGTATATGCTCATTTTGTATCCTATCTCTAAGGGTAAAGCCTCTCATCCGCCTGAGCATCCACATCTCTACAACACTTAACTTAGTATTATGCTTCTCTTTTAATGGCGAACATTCAGCACCATAAAGCATTGCAGGTCTCACCACCATCTTATAGAATTATCCCTTAAGTTTGAGGGAGACTTTTCTATCACACAACAAGCCCGATGCATTCCTTCATTTCAACCATCCAACTTGAATTCTGCTGATAATATCCCCATCTATTTCACCTCACTCTGAACAATAGATCCAATAATATAAATCTATTTATCCAATAATAGTTATAACATCATGTCTCTGTACTTATTAATTTAGTATGAAGATAAGGGAGGGTTACTTTTTTATTTTCTAAATACTGTGCTTGTAAGTTTAATTGAGAGATGTTCTTGACTATTCATTTTGTCATATCCATTGACAATTAGTTATTTCTTATAAATGCATTTGAAGTGCTCATGGTGTCAATCCAATGTTTTATTATAAGTTATTTGTTCTTATGACTGTCGTAATTTTAATTGGAGTTTACTTATGACCTTCCATCAAGTATGAATAAATCTTGTTGATGTTTGCGATTACTTGACCTTAATTCGAGGCTTGCAGTCCATGTTGGAAAAGAAGCTGGTCACCGAACTTCAAACTTGACACCTGTGGCTGTGATAACCATGTGAACTTCGGCTACTACACTAACATCTATAGTGAAAGGGGAGGGTAGCACCGAGTGCAGTATTCACAGTCAACTTAGGCACACGCTTAGCCCTCATGGTTCTGAATGTGACTTAGCCTTTCACAAGTAAACAATCCTACACAATGCATGGGAGGATAAACTTTATCATTATATTATAAAAATTCAGCGTATATTATTTTATATAAAAATTGAATAAAAGATTATTAGTTTTTAAAAGGATAAAATTGAAAAATTGTTTCTCTTTCTGATGAAAGGGAAAAAAAAATCTAAAGAAATGAGATGGACTTATAACTTATTTTGAAAATTTGCATTCACCTTAGGTTAGGCTTTAGAATGATAGACAATTTCATGCCTTGTTCATTAAATTTTTAAAATTTAAATTAAATTTTAATTTATATTTAAACTTTTAATGATTGGAAAAAAAAATTAATATATATTTTTTCTATTAGGCAATTGGTCCTTTTAAAAAAAAAATTAATTTTTCCTCCAGGACCTCCATTAAAATAATTTAAAAAAGCGACTCATTTTATTGTCGCTCTCTCTTTGCTTGTGGTTTTGAAAATTTTCAAATAGAAGTTTTGGTCTCTCATTATGGCTTAATATATAGTCTCCGCGGCACAGTAGGGATTATAGATTATGGGAGTTGCTATGCTTCTCTGCACAAATGGATCCACATCTCTTATTTTAATCCAGATCATTTTTTTCATTTACACAATATAGTTTATATTTATCAAGTACGGCTATTGTTACCAACAGTAGAATGCATGTAAGCTTTTCACCAATGTACACACACGCGTTATGTATTTGAAATTGATGGTTTAGATTGGGGAAATGCTGGCATGTAAGCTTGGCCTTGGGGATGGCCGAGTGGGGGATGAAATGAGTGCCGGTGGGGGTGGCTAGGACATGGTTAGGACGTCGGAGGGATAAGATGTAGTAAAATTCAGTTATGATCCCCAGCTTTGAACTTGATCAAGGTTTTTGTTTTGCAAAAAGTGCCCAAACTCAGTTCTTTAAAGAACTTAAGTACCATGATTCCTAATGGTGAAAGGGGAGAACTTTCATGGAGGTTGGTATTGATTCTGCGCCTACCTTTTTTTTCTTTTTGAGCCGAATTAAGTGTTCTTAAATGAAAAACCATTCTCATGTGCACTCTATCCTGCCCATGTAACGGTCATCATTATCATATCCACCGAACCATTCATCTTTGCAGTATGAACCCTCTATAAAAAAAAAAAAAAATCTTTGCAGTATGAACCCTCTATTTTTTTGTTTGTATTTGGAGATGCGTACAGAGTCCAGGAAGTTAAGGGCTTTGGATCAATAAAAGACATATACAATCGAAAGGTTGCATGCATCATCTCCTTACTAGACTTTATCATTATAACTTCATATGGTACACTTGGGTGTCACTGTCTTCCGTTTTCATGGAATGCTAAATGCCTAAATGTTAGTCATGCCTGTTAACAGCTAAAGTGGTATGCTTCTTTTGTGCACCTTTATATTTGAATGGTCTTCTTAGGTGCTTTAACTCTACATTAAGTACAACCTTCAATGTGGCATGCCTCAAAACTCTGTCAAACCAAATTTGGTGTGAGAGAAAGGGTAAGATGGGCAAGAGAAAGATGCTGTCTTTTATAGTCTAAAACACCCCAAGGTTTGGACTTGGGAAAGTTAGCTGATAACGAACCCCTCTTCTCCAATGAACAAAGCGAATATTGTATAGCGAATAGGGTAAAATAATTTACATATCCTAGTCTTTTGACTGTTATTTTAGCAGGTTAAATAGTCTTTTCCTGATCAAGCAAGTTTATGGAACCTTAACATGCAAGTGCAATTAAATAAATAAAGATGTAACAAAGGATGCAATTGAGAGCAAATAGTGTGTATTCGAGAACAAGCAACAAAAGATGAAGTTAGGTATGATTAAATCTTTTAAATAATTCAAATTATTATATTACATATAATTTTTTTATGGTTATTATATAATTTTTGCATGGTTATTATATCAAATACTGCCATTGTCAGGTCCTAAGTCATGGATGAGAAAAGTAGAGAGTTAAGTTTGGTAGTCGATAGCCAGCGTAAAACTTGTCGAATAATTATGACATGAATATTTTAATACATTGTGTTAATGCTAGGGCATTCCCTTAAAGAGACGCGCTGTATGGCTTGAATACAATGACAAGTGTGCAACGGCCGCTGCATCAGTGTCCGGATACTAGGGGTGTCAATTTCGGGTCATGGGTCGTGTTCGGGTCGGACCCGGAACTGACCCGGGTTCAAACAGGTCGACCCTAACCCGACACGATTAGGCAAACGGGTCGAAAATCTGAACCCGACCTGGCGGATTGTCAAGTTGACCCGACACGGAACCGATCGGCAGCGAGCACGCATCACGGAGTGACAGCAGCGCGCGCATTGCGTGAGCGCCGGCGAAGCGCCGATAGCGCTGGGCGACCGTTGTTCATGAAACTAAAATTAGGATAAGAACTTTGAATATAGACACTTTTACAGGTAAATTAATGGAATTAATAGATATTATGATTCATAGAAAAATAAATATTATATGCATTCATGAAATTAAATGGATTGGAGAGAAGGCTAAGGAGATTGATAGTTTAGGATTTAAAATTTGATATTTTGGTAAGAGTCGTCCTTAAAATGATGTAGGTGTGATTATAGATAAGAGTTTAAAGGATAATGTTGTAAAAATTAATAGAATTGAAGATAAAATTATAGTTTTAAAGATTGTTGTTGATGCTAAGATTATTAATATTATAAGTGCTTATGTTCTTCAAGTAGGTTTAGACATGTGTTCAAAATTAAAATTTTAGAATGACTTAGAAAAAAATAATACAAAAGATACCCCTTAAACAAAAAAAAAAGGAGGATATTTAAATGGATATGTTGGTAGAGAGGTAGATGATTTTAAAAGCATTCGTGGTGACTATGAATTTGGAGCGATTAATGAAGGTGGTTAGACCATATTAGATTTTTACTTAGCATATGATTTTATAATTGCCAATACATTTTTTTTAAGAAAAGAGATGAGAATCTCATCACTTATAAGAATGGATATAATAAAACTCAGATTGATTATTTTCTTATAAGAAAAATAGGTCATTTAGATTGCAAAGATTGTAAAGTTATTCAATGTGAAAGTTTATGTTCCTAACATCACTTATTTATTTTTTAAGATGAAGGAGCAGAAAATAATAAATAAAGTAAAACATTATTCTAGGATTAGATGAGAGCATTTGAAAAATATTAACAAAATATTTTTGAGAGTAATATACTAGATCTTAAGATTTAATCTGTGAATTAAAAAGCTAATGTTATGTAGGAAAAAATTGTTAGTGATATTAAGAATGTTGCAAAAATTGTGCTTGAAATTATCAAGGGAAAATCTCCTAATAGTAAAAATAGTTGATGGTGGAATCGAAATGTTCAAGAAAAGATAAAAAATAAAAAAAAGATTTATTATAAAAATTGATTTAGATATAAAAATTCTAATAATTGAGAAAGATATAAAGAGGTCCATTAGGAGGCTAAGAAATCAATATACGATGCAAAAATTTTAGCTTTTAATGATTTATATTATATAATAGATTAAATACTAAGGAGGGTGAAATATATATGTATAAGTTAGTCAAACAAAGGGATAAGAGTAATAAGGATTTTTTTCAAGTGAAGTGTATTAAA